CCCCAAAGTTTAGAACAAGTTTCTTTGACTTGTGCTGAAATATCATCTGATTGTGCCTTTGAACTAGTTTGCTTTCGTATTTAATGCATTGTCAGACAATCTGGGAGAATGTAGACGCCAGAAATGCCTCACCTGCTAGGATCACGAGCTTTCAATACATACTATGTCCATGTGGACACACCATACCATATTTGGCCTACAATTTAGGGCCCTCGATCGCGTGCCATCCAACGATCGTACTTATCAGATTACTATCCCTCATTGTCTTATAAAAAGACTTCTTCCATCCTTTAAACCTTTTACCACCTTATTTTTCTGCGAAAATACCTTCGTCAGCAATATAGAAAAATCTCAGAATTTGCTAGTAGTTTCGGCCAACCTTCCGACTTCCTTCGTCCACAATTCTCATTGACTTATTGGTACGCTCTAATCTTCTTGTCATCACTTTTTATTTATTTTTGTCTCAGGAATTTCTTGAAATTACTTTGTGATACTTCTATTTATCTTCCTTTTTTTTCTGAAATACTTTTGATACCATGTCGTCATCTCATAAAACTAGCTCTTCTCAAGCTCTTCTAAATGCCCTTAGTTGACTACTTTTCGAATCCTCAAATAGCCCCTTAGGTCGCTAAACCGAACCCTTTAACCTCCTAGACCACACCCAGCTTGCAGTCCCCAAGCACAAATTCGAGCTTCCCCCTTCTTGGGAACTCCAAGCTCTTAGTGGCAGAGACTCTTCCACTTAGCCTTGAAGGCTTTAAAACTTTTTTGTGGAACTAGATAGATGTTGGTCTCACCTTTCCTTTGAAGAGAAAAATGGAGCTAGCTTTGTTCTACCGGGTACCTCTGAATCATTTCACCTCGAATCCCATCTGGTTCATGGTCGAATTTTGCATACTTAGCAGTTGCCTTCTCCATACCATTGACCCAAAGTTCTTTCTTTTTTTGCTACTAGCTCAAACCCTTAAATTGGTCCTTCTACCTCTAGCGTAGAAACAATGCTCACTTCATGGTTGGCCTTATTTCTAAAGTCCCAAACTGGTGGTCAATGTACTTCTTCGTTCAACCTCCACCAACCATTCTTGGCTTTCCCCTTTCAAGGGTCTCCAAAAACCCTAACCAGCTCAAGGCCCCAAAACTAGATAATTACTATAAGACCGTGACGACAGAGCTTGAAAGTCTACGGTTCAAGGCCACCAACGCCAATCAGCAAACAACCCAAGTAGCCCAGTCATCTGCCTCTATGGTCGAGTGCAAGACCAAGGCTCGAGAGAGGGGCCTTGCTTCCTTCACGACCTCCGATCTTGGGCGAGGCTTCTTGGAGCATTACTGGCTGGAGTTTCTCACATGGTTCAATAGCACGATGGAGTTGTTTGAAGTGGCTAGTGGTATGACCAAGCAGTACTTCGACATTGGCATTAAAATAACCAAGGCTCCGACTTCCATCGGTGGTTACTCTGGTACTTTTGACGAGAATCGAATATGACAGAGTCAGCAGCATCACCGCCCCACAGTCGCGCTCGACCACCACATGCAGCTCCAGCACTCGGCGATCGCACGCCTTGTCCTAGCACACTACCGCGATGCAGCGTCACACACACCTCAGCACATGCAACGGACATTGAGCGCCTAGTGTCGCATCCAGCACGCCTAGCATGATCGCACTCGGCGACCCGATGACAACACGCGACTCCGAGGAGCTGCGATCAACAATCTGAGGAGGCGACCCGACGACTCTACAAGGATGTGCAACAAGGAATGTGGGCTAGAAGACGCGACTCAGAACCGTTCCTCTGGTCCCATAACTTATGTAAGTCATCTCAGAGTCTTGAATTTTTAAACTGTAAGAGCTGATCCTAACTATAAATTCCATTGCGTTACGATTTATTTTTAATAGATTTGGATGTGCACATTGTCAACATTCCTTATAGAATCCAACATAGTTAACTCTAATTGTCTCCAAAAGGTTTTAATTCAAGCAAATTTACATATTGAAAGTTATTGTTTAAAATACTGAAAAATATGGGACAATACATAGATTCTGGGAAATTCCTAAAAAGGAAATGGAATTTGAAGACTTACAAATTATATGGACTCATTATTATATAAGGAACTTCTCTTGAAAATTTGCCAATCGGATTTATATGTTAGGAGATATTAACAAAATATAAAATGTGAGTATACTAGGTTTTGAAGGATTGAAGTACAATCATAAAAGGGTTTTCCCGTATTGTTTCTATGAATATTATACATGTTTTTTTTTTCTTTTTACAGTTTAAACTACGTTATAACCAAAAATCAATCTTTTGTGTTTTTCAAAATGATTTTTTTGAAAATTACTGCGTAACTAAGAAATGACAAAAATAAACCATGAAATATCATACTTTTCTTTGTAGCGTGGCATTTAGTTTGACGTATGCATATATGTTGAAAAATGATGTATATATGCCTAACCGTTGAGTCTGCCTAACAATTGTTTTATTGTTTTGTTGTTGAAATGTCGCTTGTCCTTTAAGGGTAATGTGAAATTTTTATACATCCAAACAGCGAGACCCACGACACCACACAACCAATAATACATGGGCCCGCATGTCATCTCTCTCTCTCTCACACACATACACACACACACATAAACACACACCACGTCACCCCCAACATACACACACACAACACATGCACACACACATATAAGCACAAAACACACACACACACACAACGCACAAGCACCGACACACACATGGTGTATCTTAGCCACACCGACCGACCTCCGCCGCTGCAACTAGCCGGTATCCACGCCGAAAACTAAGAGCACCTCCACCGTCAAACACCTCGCGCCGCCAACATGTTTGAGAGCATATCCACCGTCGACCGCGACCGCCTCCCACCGTCAACATACATGAGGAGCCACCGCAGCTCCAACAGACACAGTCGAGTTGTCGAACGTGATAGTGTGCATTGCACTGATCATAATTGTGTAATTATCAACTTTTAATAAACTACATATTTAACACATTAACTATGTTGAAATATAGTTAGAATTTCATAAATTGCATATAATTCTGCGATATTTATCTAATCTTCAAAAAAAGTTCCCCCAATTTTTGATCACATCTGATGGTGCAATGGATTGGGTTGTCTTCCTGGATGTCCTCGTCGGTGGAGATCGACGCTCATGTCGAAGGTCTTACTCTAGAGAGAGGTCACTTGGAGACGACGATTTGCCCTCAAGTGATTTTTGAACTTTCGGCTGAAATTTTCTGGATTGGTTTTCATCATCTCCACCCGCTGGCGGCTGAGCTGCTTCATCTTTCACTCAGAGACTCACGATCGGTGAGAACGTCCATCACTGACTGTAGATACGACATCATGGAGGCCGATTTCTACACCCCCCGGGTGATTTTCGTGCTTTCGGTTGAAATTGTTAGGCCAGTCTTCATCATCTCCACCTGCTAGTGGTTGAGCTTTGCGGTGAAGGAA